GGACCTTATCCAGAGAAGCAGCAGCACCAGAGATGGAGGCAGAGATGGGGGCATGGAGAGGCGGAGCAGCTGAGGACTCTAGATTCATGGACTAAGAAGAGAAGGACTAAGAGCTGGTGGCCAGGAGCTGACTTACAGAAAGTGCCTTTTGGAGATGCAAATTATTATATATGACTGAGTGGTTTTTTTGTTTTTGTGTTTTTTAAAAAGCTAAAGTGGATAGAGAGAAATACTGTTAACTGATGGTACATGGCAATGAAACAAGGTATATGATTTGTTGAATGTAAAACTGACCTGTAAACTTTCACTCAATCCACAATAAAAACCTTAAATTAAAAAATAAAATAAAATAGGGACTGTTGTTACTAAGTGCCAATGAGTCAGTTCCAACTCATAACGACCCTGGATAGGGTTTCCCAGAAGTAGCTGGTTGATTTGCACTACCAACTTTATGGTTTACAGTTCAGTGCTAATCCTATAGCGACACAGAAGCAGGCCATAAGGACTTAGGAAAGAGAAAAAAATGAATGCAGTAAATGAATCTAAGCTATTCTGATGAATACCAAAATGACAGTGAAAGGGGAATAAAGAAAAGAATAATCCAAGAAATTTATAAATGCAATATCTGACTATATACCCTCAAGTCTTGGGCAATGTAGTATCTAGGGTAGGAAGGAAGAATTGCAAAGAGATCATGAACTATTTTTCAGCTGGTATGTTTACTGTAGTGCCATGGGTGAAGAAATTCGGAAACTAGGTGTTATTATGGGAATGAACAAATAAGTAGAAGAGATATACAATTATGGAATAGGAGGAATCAAGAAAAAATTCTGTGAGGATGGTTTAGAATTGGAAGCATTTAATATCTCTAAACTAATACGTATGTGTATGAGAGAGAAAGTGGCAAGGGAGGGAGCATATGAAGGTATGCGAGGAGATAAGCACTGTAAATGTGTATATGATCAAACAAATGGGGTGACATTCCAGCAACAGTGACTATGAATAAAGATATGCACATGTTCTTAGAATTATTTTTATTTTTACAACATTTGTTTAAAGTTTGAAATCAATATTTTCTATTTAAATTTGTCATATATAGGAATATATTTTAAATATTTTCCTCTGGATTAAGTTGCTGGGTCTGGGCGCTCAAAACCATAGTCTCAAGGGACAGTATGGTCACTTGGCACAACATAGTCCATAAAGATAATGTTCTACCTTCTGTCTTCTACCTTCTAGTTTGGTGAGTAGCAACTGGGGTCGGAAAAGCTTAATAGTGGGCCCCTATGGTACAAATACTTGTTTCTCCCCACATGGAGGAAAGAAGCATGAAGGAAATTGAAGATACATGGAAACAATGAGTCAGATGCACTGACAGACCACACCTCCATCAGTCATCACAAGCCAAAGACCAGAAGAACTAGATGGCGTCCAGTTATCACTACCAATTGCTCTGAACAGAATCACATTAGAAGATCCTGAACAGAGTCAGAGAAGAATGGGAAACAAAACTCAAAATTATTTGGAAAAAAAAAAAACCTCAAAATTATTTTTTTTAAAAAAAAGGTCAGACAACTAGAGACTGGTTAGAATCCCTAAAAACAGGGCCTTTAGTTACCCTTAAGGTTTGGACCTTAACTCAACCCCATGGCTCAATTTTCAGCCAAACAATAGACAGGTCTGTAAGGGGGAAATAACATTAGTGAGGTATGCACACCTAAGACTAATCATCAAGTTGATACCCAAGGGGCAGCATTTACCCAAAGAGAAAGTTCAGAAGGGTTGGAAGAGAAGGAGGAATGAAAATAAGAAACACAGGGATGATGTGGGATACTGGTGTTACATCGTGGGGATTGCAATCAATCGAATGAAATAGAACCTGTATAAATTGTTGGATGAAAAACTGATCTGCTCTGGAGACATTTACCCAATTCACAATAAAAAGATATAAAATAAATATTTTCCCCTGAAAAATTAGCTTATTACTTTCCTAGTGCATATGTACTATGTTGTTGTGAAGTGCCGTTGAGTCTATTCCAACTCATAAGTTCTCTGAGGAGCAGCTGCTGGGTTTGAAACATTGACTTTGCATTTAGCAGTTCATTGTTTATCCTACAGAACTACAATAGGATTCCATATATACTTTATAATGCTATAATAATTAACCATTTTATAATGAAGGTATGTGAAAACATTTTAAGCTGTCAACATTTTTAAAAATCAGAATTTTAAGATAAAATTTACACAAACATTAGATAAAATGTCAGCAATCTTTCACTTTAGTATGAAATTTCATATGGCTCTACCGCAATTAGTAGAATCCTGGGGTGACACTGTAGGATAATCACTAGGCCACAAGGTCGTTTGAATCACAAGGTCAGAGGTTCAAACTTACTGGCTGCTCCTCAGAAACCCTAACACAGGGTCGCTATGAGTCAGACCTGACTCAACAGCATTGAACAACAACCACCACAATGCAGTTAGCAAAATATTTTTATGTCAACCAATCTAAGTACTCATGTTTAAATATCACTATTAAGAACAGGCTGCTTCTTGAGTTTCCTTACCTCCCCAAATATTCACTGTTTATATTGCTATAGTAACCAAAAAGTAAGTATCCTTAAAACACTTACTCTTCCAATGATCGATCGAGGCCCCGGTCAGGAGATCGATGGTGAGTACGGTCTGGCGAATGACATTTGGTATTTGGCTTTATTGTTGTACTCATATGATATGCAGTACTTGAATAATTTTGGCGACGAAGTTCTTGAACAGCTCTCTCCCTAAGATAAAGGAGTGATGATTTAAAAGTTTATAATCAGTGGCATTATTACAACTATCATTGAAAATCATACTTTAAAAACTAATCATTACAGAGCAACCAAACCCTGTTGCTACCTAGAGAACAATGCTTTCCAGGCCAAACATTGTGTGAAGACAAACTTACCTTTCAAAACGCTCAGTCCCTAGTTGTCTTTTGGTAATATCCAAATCAGCCTCCAGTTGTGTTACTACATTTCTGAACTGGGCCACATCTCTACTCTGGATGGCCCTGTGTTAAAAAAGAATAGGGGATAGGAGATTAAACTTAAAATACGACTATGACTCCTACCAAAACCAAAACCAAACCTACTGCATCTAGATGCTTCTGACTCAAAATGACCCAATTGTTGTTGTTGTTGTTAAGTGCCGTGGAGTCAGTTCCGACCCTTAGCAACCCTGAACAGGGTTTCCGAGGCTGTAAATTTTTACGGCAACAAAAAGCCTCATCTTTCTCCTGCAGAGCAGCTGGTAGTTTCAAACTGCTGACCTTGTGGTTCGCAGCCCGATTCGTAACCACTACGCTACCAGAACTCCTTAAAATGACCCTTAGGACAGAGCTTCGTACAGTTGCTAAGGCTGCACATCTCCACAGGAGTAGACAGCCTTGGAACCAACAGTCACATCTTTCTATCTCGGAGCAGCTACTGGGCTCAAACCGCCGACCTTTTGGCTAGCAGTCCAACTTCTAACTCATAGCACCACTGGCCAGGGTTCCTGGACTCCTGGAGTAGTGCTGTAGAATCAGCACTGGACTGCAAACCACAAGGTCGGCAGTTCAAACTCATCAGCTGCTCCTCAGAAACCCTATGTTGTTGTTGTTATGTGCCGTGGAGTCGGAACCGACCCATAGCGACCCTGTACAGGGTTTCCGAGGCTGTAAATCTTTACGGGAGTAGAAAGCCTTATCTTTCTCCCGCAGAGCGGCTGGTAGTTTCGAACTGCTGACCTTGCGGTTCACAGCCCGAGTCGTAACCACTACGCTACCAGAGGGGTTTGTAATGAATCAGAACTGACTCCACAGCACTTAACAACAACAACAAAAAATAGGATAAGCACTGGACTACGAACCACAAGGTAAGTGGTTCTAGCCTACCAGCCACTCCACAGGAAATAGACGAGACTTTTTGCTCCCGCTAAGATTTAAAACTTCGAAAACCCTATACAGGGACGCTATGAGTAGGAACAGACAACTAATGTGAAAATTGGCTTGAATGAAGTCTAAGCAGTCCCAGTCACATTAGTTAAGCCCTCTCCATCTCATCTCCCCGTATATTTGGTTAAGTGCAGTTGACTCAGTTCTGACTCATAGTGACCCTGGATTGTATTTCCTAGAAGCAACTGGTGGGTTTGCACTACTGACTTTGAGGTTAGCAGTCCAGTGCTTATCCTACTGCACCAAATGGAGCAATATTATTTATCTTCTGTACTGCAAATAATTTTCAAAAAAGTACTTTAAAGTATTATATAAATGCAAATAGCACTACAATTATTGGCACTACAATTAAGTAGCACATGAGCAGTATGGTCTGAGATGTGTCTGTGTATGTATGTGTGTGTATAAATTCAGCCAAGATCATCATGCATAAATACAATGAAAATTGATGTTGTTGTTGTTAAGTGTCGTCGAGTTGGTCCCATTTGTATTGACTGTGTATAGGGTTTCCAAAGGGGGACTGGTGGGTCTGAACCACCAACCTTGTGGTTAGCAGTCCAATGCTTACCCTACAATATCACACCAGGAAATTCAATGTACGCACTGGTAAAAAAAAACACTGATAATAATAATACCTTTTTAGTTTAACAAGGTATTTCTTGGGACTATGGGACTAAACTATGCCTCAAAAACCCTGTGATAAAACATATTAGTGTGTATAGTGGGGGGGAGGGGGGGAACGACAGAAGCAAAGGTTGTTTGCACAGTTTGTTCTACCCTCGTTGCTTTCAGAACTGCATGACAGACTACTGAAATCTAAATGTTAGAGACTAAAACCACAAAAGTTTGTAATGCATTCAAATTCTAAGTGTAGTACTTACTAGCCAGTCTAGAAAAGAATATACACCTTAAGGTTTTGGCATATTTCACCAGGTAGATTTCCTCCTATCACCTTGAAAAACTGATCCTGCAGAACCAGTTGAGGTATCACAAAAGCCCAGAGTAGCCATAATCCGAAAGCAATTTCTGGAGGAAACTGGATCTAGCCCAAGAGCTTGGCTTATGGCTGAGTGGCTGTGCTGAGAAGCTGATCCCTGAGACTATGGTTCCAGTCCTTCACTGTGTCCCAGGTCAGGCGAGGACAGAATTGAGAATGGATGAAAAATGTTGTAGGAGGGATAGATAGAAACAGGGGCTAAGTGTCTCCATCAGTTTTGTGAGAGATGACCAAATTTAATCATAAAACTGTCAACATCTATGTAGGATTTCCCATCCAAACCTCCAATGCTAGGGAGACTAAAAAAGTTAAAATAAATGCTCTGGGGAAGTCTTTAGTATTCTGTGAGTTTAGGAGTTCTTCCAGGCACCCAGTATACACTTACATGTAAATTAGAAAATACTATGTGATAAATGGAATGACAGGCAGCAATGACAGGTAAGTTCATAAATATAAAATTTATTCTGATTTCAGAAGTGCTTAAATTTTTCTAATCAGATTATAATAGTTCCTAAAGGCACTATTTTGGATCAGACATTCTATTATACCCAAAGGTCTGTTTGAAGCAACACAGATGGTTAAATTCAAATTTAGATAAAGAAACAACAGATAATAGGGACAAACAAGTACTGAACCTTTGGTAAGTGGCAAGACTTCTTGTTCTTGGTTTCATTAATGATAATTTATAGGGACTAAATTACCTAAATTATAGTTTGAAAAGTCTAATTTACAAAGTACCTAAAATCTCATGAATATCATTTTATATTATTATAGTGCTAAGTACTCACATTTTATTTTCTGCCAAACAAAGGTGTTCTTTAAGAAGCTGAATTTCAGATTCTTTTTCTTGCAGCGCTATTTGAGACTGATATTCTTTGTCTCGATTGGCCACCAGCAAAGTTTCTAGATTCTGCATGGAGATTCTCTCATTTGTCATCTGACTCCTAAGGAGTTCGATTTCAGAACGAGCTGAATCTAACTCATTCTCCATCTGTATAATAACAGGAAGATATCTGCACTTATTTCCATTCATTCACGTAACTCATAGGATAAAACTATCTAACTGTTATAAACTTACAACCAGTTTTAATATCTTCACATGAAATTGTATTCTCCTTAAGAAACACACATACACACATACACTAGTATTCCCAATTATCAGGTTGTATCAAAAAAACAGTTTTAAGCACAGCATTGTTAATCCCAAACTGCAAATAATTTCTATTTTTGGCTTTGATATTTCCATGTATATATTTGTAACACTTACATGGTGTTATCAATAATAACTACTTGTCCTTAGATAGGTGAGCTATAAACATATAACAAACTTATAGAATGTAATCGTTTAAATATAAAAGGAGTAATACACTTTATTCCCACCACTCATCTGTCAGTTTGTTGTACTGTGGTAACTTGTGTGTTGCTGTGATGCTGGAAGCTATGCCATCAATGGAAACATAGGGACAAATGTGAGGGCACTAATTCAGGGAATACACAGACTACAAAACATTTTGAAAACTACACAAACAAAAGTACACAAAATAGATGAGTGGGACATA